GAATCGAATCGTTACCTGGTGAATCTTAATCGAATCGAATCGTGAGGGCAGTGCCAATGCACACCCCTACTAATATGTTTTATTATTTTTAAAAAGGAAAAACATAGATTAGGAATTTCAAAACTTAAAAATAACCCACAGGTTTAGAAGATGATGTTAGATCATTTATGGCTTTGGTCATGTAATGAAATAACTTTTTACCACTTGTCATCAAATGAGTTCCAATTTGTTGAGATAATTTACCAGCAGGCAGACAAATCAAAGTGGAAAAGAATAGAGAAAAATAACACCTCAGAAATTGGCAGAGGGAGGAAAAAACGATCTTAACAAAAATATAAAATACTCACCCACAAGACATTTTCTGGATTCCTCTTGGTATCCAAACACAGTTGGACTGGTCCTGATCAGGAGGTGATTATAATCCTGTGGTCTCCTTATGAACAAACCAAGTTTTGTCAGAGTTTTTTCAACTCACAAATAATTTCCAGAGTTAAGCATAAATTCTCCTTGTTCTTTTCTCCATTGTCCATTGACCCTTTAACAAGTCCAAACTGAAGCCTACATCTGTTTTTACGATAAGCTATCAAAAGCCACCCACTCCTCCCACCCTGTAATTTACTCTAATTCTTCTTAATTATTGCATTATCTGCGGAAGGAAAATACGTCTTTTCCTGTCAGCTTTCCTCCAGATCCTCCTCTCACAACCTGCTCCATGGGGAAGATATGTTTTTATCTCCAGTAGTCTTTATTTGCCTGCATGTAAATTCCAGCTCTTTTTATGAGACCTACATGCAAAGCATGGCAAGCTCTTCATGCTCAATGTTCAAACAAGACATTGGCACCTAGCTAAGCTAATTCAGTTGTTCTTTTTTTTCTTACAGAAAAAAAAACAACTTTGAGTGTTGGCTTTGTATTTAGCCAATTTAACTCAATCTATGGCTTAAGAAAAGGGTGTTACTAGTAATTCACCCCATAAACCTGACATTTCAAAAGAGTGGCAAGAAGAAATCATAACTAGCAGGGTTTGTATTTCAACAACAAACTGGTTTAAGATGAGAATAAAGTTGAACTCTAAAAGCAAAATGCACAGTTGTATGAGTGGAGAGAAATGAGTTTACTCTAAACAACTCATTCCCTGTGAAACATGGTGGCATCATCTGGTTTGGGATGCTTTTGTTCAGCAGGAATAAGGAAGCTGGCTGTAGTTGATGGAAGATAAATAAATGTAAATAAAGGACAATCATGGAAAAATACTGTTAGAGGCTGCAGGAGTTCAAA